CCCTACTGGCCTTTTTCTTCTTGATCACAGTGTATAACGGAGAAACCATGAACAGCCAGCCACCTGCTTCCTCTTTTATTCCAGACATTAATCCCGACAACGCAGACCCCTGTACCTGACAGAGATGATCCCAGCTGCACCTCCCCACCCAGAGCCTGAGCAACAGCACTGTGCAAGGACTGTCCCCACACCCTGACCACCTGCTGTCTGCTATGCAGCCCCCAGCTCCCCACAGGTCACTAAGCTGGAGACCTGGCAGAGGCCTGGCCCTCCCCAGCTGCGTAGTTAGCCGGGCCTGCTGGGCCGCCATGCCTCTTCCCACGTGTCTAAGTCCCTTGCTCCTCCTTGCCCCACTCAAGACCTTCCTGTCAGGCCCTGGAGAACTGAACCACCTCACTCAGCGCTGCAAACCCCAGCAAGAGGTTTCAGGGACTGGAAGCAGGTCTGGTTCTGCCAATGACCACAGAGTGGTGACTAAGACGAGAGGGGCCTGGAGCACGTTTGGTAGTGCTCCAGGGGGTTCACAAGCCAGGCAGAGCTCCTGGAGGCCGTTAGCCAGCAGTGGAGGTAAGGGAGCAGCAGACAGCAGGCACAGACACCTGCAGAGCCTGGGGGAGGGGCCGTGCACAGGCTGCTTCCCACGCAGCCCAGACAGTGGAGGAGGTTCCCAGACACTTGTCCCCAGAAAACCGGCGACCCCGACCCTCCGACTAGGCTCCATGTGTCTTTGTGTTCCTCCCGGTGCACATTGTTCCCAGGCTGCCTGTTCTCTGAAAGTCATTATGCAAATCCCAGCCAGCCTGTATCCATAGAAACCGCCTTCCTCTGCCAGTGAAACCCACCCAAGTGACACCCACCAGCAAGGAGCAGCACCCACCCCAGGGCACGTCCCTCTGCCCGGGCATCGGGCTGTCTTGCCCTGGCACACACCTTGCCCAGCCCTCTGGAGATGCCTGGGTGAGGAAGGGGATACCACAGTGCGGGAAAGATGCCACCTCTCCGTTTTGAAACCTCAAAGGGAAAGGTGACAGTCCCCACCGGGTCACGGCTGGCCCACGCCCAACGGCTCCGCTCCCTCTCAGCACAGCCGCCACCTTCCGCACAGGGCAGGGCCAGCTCTTCCAGGGGCCGTGCAACTCTGCGTGTGACTGCTGAGCAGCTCTGGGGCACCTTCTCAAGACCTATGACCCTGAGTCCCTTCCTGCAGGTCCCGGGCCCCCTCACTCCCCAGCTGAATGCCAGCGGGCTGCACCCTTCTGCTTTTGCCAGGGGCTGAACCCCAGGAGCTCAGCTTTGGGAAAGACCTCGAGCGAACTGTGCGTGTGGCCTCCGCTGGCTACTCAGGGCAGTGCGATCGTCCCGGAGCCAGAGTGCACCGGCAGCTACGAGAACAGGCCAGACCCCACGCAGCGGCGGACACGCTTGCTTGGCTGGCCGTGGGTGACTCACTCTACTTATCTTCAGGAATCTTCTTAGCTCAGCTTTTCGCTTGCTGAGACCGACGGGCAGAGCAACTCACCCTGAGTTACACGGGTGGGGTCAGACTTTGAAGCGAGATTATTTGGGCCTGTCCTGATCTCCCTGCCAGGTCATTTGAGTCACTAGCTACCTTTGTGAGGCCTAGCTGGTATTTTAAAAACAGGTTTGGGTCTGAGTTCAGGTTTATCAAGAGAAGCTGAATTCCAGTGCTCCCCCACCCCCAACTATTTTAAAAGCCTCGGGCAAAATCCACCAGTTGAACCCACTGCATGAAAACCAAGCTTCCCCACTGAAGACAGAAAATTATTTTAGTAACCCCCTGTGTCTGTCTGTCGGCTGCTGAGGGGTGCAATGCAGTATGTGCTTCTGAACCCCAGCGGTGCAGGGCTCCAGAGCAGACCTGTGTTCACACCTGAGGAAGGCCACCTCGATGGTGAGGTGACAGCTGCGAGCGGGGGTGCAGGGTTTGGTAGAAGAGGGGGACTGTTCGGGTACATTGTGTACCTTGGGAATTTACAGCTGCGTAAGCAGATTACGCAGCCCACACCCTCGGGAGCCCGGACCTTGCGTCTGCGGTGTGTTCCCATGCCTGGGTGTGGAACTCTGCATCCCGCTTCTCATTTACTGCAGCCTGGCCATTTCCCCACTACCACGAAGTCATTCCTACACGTATGTGCCATGTGTACGTTGCTGTTAGAAATCTGAAGGCACCCGAGCACTTCTAATATAGGCAACTCATTACATTTCTCAATCCACCCCCAGCAAAAAATGGGTGGGGGATCTGAACAGTTCTCCCAGATGCTACAGAAATAGTGAGGAGGCAGAACAGCAGAGGGGTGAATCAAAACCAGGAGATGCTCTTGACCTCCCCTGGGATGGCTAAGTTAGAAGGCAGATAGCAACAAGTGCAGACAAGGACGCGGGCTGCCCACGCACTGCTAGCACAGCAAATGGTGCTGGCCTTCCTGAGTGCCGCAACGGGTTAGACGCAGCCAAGCTGGCCACAGCCACTTCAGGGCAAGTTTGATCCCCACCCCGGAGGTGACCACATGGCGCGGCAGACCTCTCCTGACCCGCCCGCTGCTCCCCTCAGCAGTGTACTTCGTCCATCTGCCTGTTCTGCTCCCCACTGTCTCTGATGAAGCCTCTCACCGCACCTGCATCTCTACATTGTACCCTGGCTCTGTGTGCATAAGTAAATAAATCTTTAAAACAAAGAAAAGAAAATGGCGCTGCCCATGGGAAAACAGCGTGGCAGATCCTGGGTAGGTTACAGTTACTGTCTGACCTGCAAATCTACTATTAGAGAATGGAAAAGGTGTGCTCCCCCAAACCTGTGTATGCATCTCACAGCAATGTCACAGCCCCAGGGCAAATACCCTGACGGGCCATCACTGAAGAGCAGACCAGGAACACGCGGTGTGACCAGACAGCTCGGCCAGCAGCAGTGGCGGGAGGCGGCTCACGAGGACAGTCAGTCTAGGACAAATTATCATTTTTATTTTTTGAAAGAGAGGGCTATATTAACCAAATTACCCTGTTTTTTTTTTTTAAAAAAAAAAAAACTATTCTTCCAACATTTAAGGTGCAAATAAAAACACTTTTTGAAGTTTACTGTAGGTGCAAAATAGTTCTGGGGAGAGACCAGCACGCAGACTGGCCAGCAGGCCAGCTGGTGGGAGAAGAGCCTGGAGCTCTCCTGCGCCTGGGGCCCTTTAGAGTGGGCAGGCTCGCAGGGGGCCGCTGCTTTTTACGTAACCCACGATAGCACATGACCACTTATGGACTTGAGTCTTGGTTTGCTTCAAGTGTCTGCCTGAGAAGGGGCACCCCGGGGGACAGCGCTGCGCCACAGGAGCCCTGCCTGTACCACGTGGCTTCCCAACACGCGAGTGGCCAGCTAACCATGAGATGGGAGGGGAGGACAGATGTGGACGGAGCCGCAGGTGGCCGAGGGGGAGCAGCAGGCTGCGGCCAGCACAGCCTCTGGGCCGTCCCTCCCGGCCTGGGCCACCCCCAGGTCGCAGGCCAGCCAGCCTGCCTCCCCCTCCCCGCTGGTCTCATTTAGAGGAAACGGCGAGGTGATGGGAGCGCTGCAGGCTGGGGCTCCTGAGACGGACCCCTGAGTGCTGAGGCCCTGTGCTCGGGGTGTCCACACGTGGAAGTGCACAGCTGACCCCAACGCCGCCCCACTGGCCTGCGGGGCCGGGGGCACAGGTGAATTCAGGGCGGGGAGGGAGCCTGCCTGGATCAACGCACAGCTCCAGCGCGCCACACGCGCCTGCCCGCTTCCCCGCCCTGCTCCTGCAGGGAAAACCGCGTCAAGGCAGCCGTGGCCCGGCCTGTGCTGGCCCCAGGACCCTGGGCTCTGCCAGTGCTGCGGTGGCCAGAGGGCCCGCTACTTCTCGCTGTGACAGCAAACCTGCCCACCGCCAAGGTCTGGCTACAATAAAACCACATTTCAAAATAGGCCTATTCTAGAGGCAGCCATGACTCTAGAAATCCTGGGGTCCGGCTGAGGAAGTTCCGGTCCCGAGGTGCCCCCGCCCAGGAGCCCCTGGCTGGCGAGGTGTCTCAGGGCCGCCCACGGGCCGCCCAGAGAGGGGGACCCTGAGACTAGAAATCCTGGGGTCTGGCTGAGGAAGTTCCGGTCCCGAGGTGCCCC